GACTTGCGGTCAGAGCTGTGGTTTCATGGAGCTGCTATGTGAAAACTAAAACATGCCCCATGATTAACTGTGAGGAGGACGAGACTTTATAGCACCTCCTCATGGACTGCTACAGAGCCCAGGAGGTGTGGTCGCTCCTACGGGGCATCGGGTTAGAGTTAAATGTAGAATATGTCTCAATCATGTATTGTATTCTGGGTGAGGGGATGGACAATAAACACAGAGACCTTTTTCAGCTGGTAATTTGTATAACATGTATGAAGATCTGGAAGACTAGGTGCAAGATGATACTAACTCAGACGATCATAAACAGTGGCACCATCGCGAAACAGGTTATTACCGAACTAAGGAGAAGAAAAACCCTGGAAAAATCCCAGACTCAGCCATGGGGCATTTTGAGTCTGTGACCGAACTGAGTCTCATTGGAATATAAACGTGCTCTCTTTATGTTATTTATAGATTTATGAATTGTGTTTTAGGTGTATTATTAATGTAACTTTTGTATATCATGTACTGCCCAAATAATATAAAATAAAGTTAAAAAAAAAAGTAATAAGTAAAGGGATCACCAGAAGGATGGATTCACCGGGGATCAACATGAGTGAAGTTGAGATATTTCAGTCTGGAGTTTTCTTCTTGGACAGGAAATTATTCTNTTGTCAAAGCATTTAATATATTCATTGCTATCGGGACGTTAAGAGCATTCCATGCAATATAACAAAAAGTGTTTTCTGAAATAAATTACATACCCCATTCAATGGGGTATGTAATTTATTTCAGAAAACACTTTTTGTTATATTGCATGGAATGCTCTTAACGTCCCGATAGCAATGAATATATTAAATGCTTTGACAATAAATACATACACAAATTAATCTCTGGAAGCCGGAGCGCTGTAAAAAGCACGACCAATCATTTTAGCCGGCCCGGCTAAAATAACTGGATGGCCTACCTGCCTGTCAGCCTTCCATCTGTGCACAAATGTATCTCGTGGCATCATTGATGATGCGCGTTCGTGTGTGTTGGAGGAGGGACTCTGTAAGGAAGTCTGAAGGAAGAGGCATATTTTTTCCGGTTGTGTATTTTCAAATTCTAGCGCACTCGAGCTGGTTTCTCCATTCTTACCTACACTACCGTTAAGTCTTTTTAGGGTGCAGCTATATGTTTTATTTATTTCAAAGTGGGCACATTTTAATTATATATTTTTTCCTTCAAATGTGCAGAGGACTCCCCAAGTGCTGTGTTTAATTTATTTTAAAGTAGGCCTGTGTATTATTTTTAATTCTCCTTTATAGGAGTTCTTTGTTTCTTATTAGAGGTTAACAGTTTTATATAATGTAATAAATAGCCTAATAAATGCAAAAAAACTGTAGTTTTTGTCTGATATAACAATAAATACAACTTTATTAGCTATCAAGCTATGAAATATGTTTTGCGGCTCCAGACAAAAAAATGTTCGGGAAAAAGCAGCAAAATGGCTCTTTTGGTCAAAAAGGTTGCAGACCCCTGCCCTAACATGTCACCCACTGACACATTAAAAAATGTTTTAGGGTTTAACCAGTCAGGTTTAACCCTTAGGGTTAGGGTTAAACCCTAAAACATGTTTTAATGTGTCAGTGGGTGACATGTTAGGGTTAGGGTTAAACCTGACTGGTTAAAGCC